AGAGTCCTGCAGAAAGTGAATGGAAAAATATGTCTTGAGAATTTAGTTTAATTGTGGGATTTTTAATATGAGGCAACGGGGACATGACCCGAGGGGCTATGATCATCATCTTGGCAGGATGTATGAGAGTACTCAAATGTTAGCCCGACTGGGGCTGCCTGTAGAGCTCCCCTGTCTTACAGCCACTATGTCACTGGCCACTGTGCGCGGTTGCCCCTTTGGGGGCCGTCTTGTGAGCTGCAGTTCCTGCCCCGGAGGGTTTCTGTTGGCTTCTCTCCGAGAACCAGTCTGGCTCAGCTTTATTTAGTCACTCTGCTAGGTTTGACTCTCGTTTCGTCGCTTGGGTTTCTCAATGAGGTGAAGCACAGCCCTGAGTGCTGATAACCACACCGGGCAGCGTGGCGTCGCAGCTGATCCTGCAGCTTAGGCCAAAGATCGTAAATCCGCCTTTTCCTCATGGGTGTTTGATCATTTCCGTGACATTGTGTCACACAGTCTTCTGGCAGTTATTCTCTTTTATGCGTCTGCTGTAGATTTCTTGATCTGTCCATTGCTTAAGGACATTGCTTAACACTATCATTAGTGTTGTGATGTTTGGATCCATCACATTTGGATGCTTCTGAGTCTGTGTTATTTTTCCGTACCGTACACTTTCCCTGGCTGGAATAGGTCAGACCGTATGTTTCCTGCTTCAGTTTGTTAGTGCTCAAGTAATCACTTTATCTACCATTTTCTTAATTATTCCATCACCTAGTTTTAAGCACTTAACCACATAAGCACATCAGATCTTTTTCCAGATGTCCCAGTCCATGGCTATTTGTGTCATTGCTAGTGGGTTGCAGCTGGAGTAGACAAGCTCACCTGTTTTCTAAGTCTGTGTTGCTGGAGCACCAATTTTTGTACTAGTCTTGACCTCTAGTGTTGCTGGCCTTTACACTTTTGTCCACATAGTGCAAGAAATTTAGTCTCCTGAAACTTCAGTATTACAAAGAAGAGGTTCTCTGTGGGTGGTTTGTCAAAGTTTATAGTTAGACTTCCAGGGAGGGTAGCCTTCACTAGGGTTAAGTTAGTCTTTAAGAATATTCCCCTATGTCATGGCCTCAAATCTCTTAGGTGAGGTTCTGCAAAAGTGGTTTTTTTTTTTTTTTGGTCTTTTTTTTTTTGTGTGTGTGTATAAAAGTCTAGAGGAGAGCATTAGTCAGCCACTTCATAACACTGACAGTAATATTAATATTTAAAGAGCAGACCCCTGGAGACCTGAGCATACTTTCTTCTTGGCTTCACTGGGACCTGGAAACTCAGCACACAGAACCTGTGGGAATGAGTCCAAGGAGACTCCAGACAGCTTATCATATTTCAATCAAACATTGCATGGTTGGCAGGATTTTATTTTACTTAATTCCTAATAAACAAGTTGCCTCAGTTCTTGGGAGAATAACTGTGTTTAGGTTTTCAGTCTATGAGAAAGTTGAGGGTGTGTTTGTAACTGGGATGGCCCTAATACTATGTCTGCCTATCTGTAGTTGTAAAATGTTACCTATGGCAGCACAAACTTTAAAACTTGGTGGAATCCCAGGAAGCATTTAATTGCATTTGTGCTTCATTACAAGGCTGTCTCCTTTTCTGGAATTTATTTTAGCTAATTAGTTGGAAATGTCAGAGTAGTATTTCAGATGCCAGAAACATCATATATTATTACAAATGGAACAATTAACTCTTTTGACAAATATTTATTGTGGTGTCTTCTTTAATTAAGTTTTCAGTGCTCTTCAACATAGAGCAGGTTCTTCCCTAAAAGGAGACCTTTCCAGCGCTGTCAGTGAATATTTGACTGATGTGGCTTACTTGAACTTGGCACTGAAAGAGTTAATGGCCTAACCGTGAATATAGTGACCTGACACAATTTCACAATGCAGATATCTGATACTTTGGCAAAAATCCCAAAGCAATTGTCCCCTCCAAACTCTGCCTCGGATACCACAGATGGAAAAGATGCATCTCCAGTCACTCCTGTTTTTCCACTGGAACTGTTTGCAGGAGAGAAAAATGCCATGTGCTTGAGCTACTGAGACAGATAATGGTAAAAAGCAGGCCTGTATATACGTTTTTAAAAAATCAATTTTTTTTTATTTGGTTCTTGGGGTTATTCATGTGGAAACATGTTACAAATGCAACTGTTTGGTTAGTTCCCCTTAAACAGATAGGTCTCGTAGATGATGCGCCGCTGAGAAATAATTCCTGACAGTTATAACTGAAGCAGATAAACAGTTCTGCCAGCCACTAAATAACACAGTAAAACCAAAGGGTTCTGCTTACTGTTTTCTATTCCTTCATGTCTGTCAAACTATCTAACGGTGCAGCAGTCATCAGAAAGGGCCTCTGTGCCATCCCACGTGCCTGCTGCGCTTGTGGTTTTTGCCTTCCCAACTACTGGGCCAACTGTGTCGTGCTTGTCCCATGGGATAACCCCTGTGTTGTAGCTGGACTTTGTATTTGCCCTTGCAGAGACATTTGTTGGAAGCACTGCTCTACGGGATTGTAGTTGTTCAGCAAGTGTATCCACCTATACATACGTTTTCTTTTTCTTTAGGCAGAACCAGCACCAGAAAGTGGACGGGACAGTCCGAACGCGCAAGTCACCTCAGGGCAGAACAACTCGGATGCAGCCGGGACAGGCGGCTCTCCGGCCTCGCAGAGTTTGGTCGCTCCTGCCGCGGTCTCCGCAGGTACCTCAGCTGCGGCTTCGTTCTTCATAAGGTAGTTTTCACCTTCCTGCTTTCTGCAGTCGCTGGTGGGTGTGAAGTGGTTGTGAAATGCCCTGGAGGCTTTGCCTTGGGTCAGGTGTGTCGCATGTGCTGGCAGTGGATGGTGGAGTTGGTCCCTCTGCCTTGGCTCTGGATTTCCACCTCCCCTGGGGAGATGAGCTGTGTTGGTGATGTGCATTTTTTCCTCTGAAGACCTCAGTTGGCCTTGATTGACCATAAAGCAGCAGCATGTGTGGTGGTGTCCCCCTGATCCTTCAGGGGTATTTCTTAGGGAGTATATAAATCTACCATTCAGGAGGTTTCTGTGGAGCTGGGACGAAAATAACAAGGTATTTCCACTCAGACCTGGTCCGTACCAGCTGAGCGAGAACAGGCATCCTCTCTAGCTGTCCGTCCACATGCAGTTGGCACATGTACGTTCTCAGAAGGAAATCCCTCCAAACAAACACTAAATACACCTTAATTTGTTAGCGATTGACTTGACTGCAGCTAGTGTTTCTCTTTTACCAGTGCAGTTATAGCATGAGTATGTGAAATGTTTGTTTGCATTTTCTGTCCTTCCTCCTCTGCAATCAGAGGATTATTTTGCTGTTCCACCTGCTCTAACTTGAGGAAGACACTTAATACACAAAGCAAACCCTTGCCCCGTGAACAGATACTGCCTAGGAAAACTTTTCTGCTAAGCAGCATCAAAAAGATGCATGCATGCTTAGATACCTGTTTCCTCCCTATTTATTCAAAATGGGGGAGGGTCAAAGATGATCATCTGTCACTGCTGTATGATCTGTTTGAGAGGAATAAAAAGTTTTTATTCATTTTTTTTTTATCCAGTAGCATGGCTTATATGCGCAAATAGAAGTGTGTGTGTTTGTTTGTTTGTTTGTTTTTCTGTAGGTGGTAATAACAGTTAAAACAGTATAAAGCAGTCATTTCTAATGGATTTAGAACTTTTTTTTCATTCTTGGGTCTTATAATGAAAATGATCTGTTAGTTTTGTTTGTGAAATGTTTGTTATAATTAGCAATGTTGATTAAATGCAATACACTGTCAAGCAGATGGTATTTAAAACAACAAAATACAGGGCTTTGTACTTGCTTTCCAAACTCCCTTTTTTATTTGGTAATGGAACATGTTTGGAGACAATATTGAAAAACGTATGTCTGGGAATGGTATTAAAATAAAATTTATGCACTGAGACTGCTTCTTATCATGTAATTATGTAGAAATACTATTGTTTCCTTTTCCTTGATCTTTTCAAATTGTTTGCAACATTAAAAGAATGGCTTTTAGTAGAAGTTAACTTGTAATCTGGCCTTAGATGGAGCTCAACTCCCAAGTCCTGTTTTCAGAAGATCAGAGTGCAATGAGTCTGTGACGTTATATGACTATGTAGCTCAGGCTGGCTTTTCACATGAAGCAATAACTGCCCCAAGTGTAGTTTGTATTTTATGTGTGAGCTAAGTCCCGTAGGTTATTGTCAGCAATGGGAAATGTTTACCTGTGGGGGAGGATACATTTGATTTTTAAGTCAGATATCTGAGATTGGTGGAAGTATAGGGAA